TGACCCATGTGCCCACTAATGTTTGAGAAGCGCTGGATTAGGGTATCTGGAGTAAGTCCTTGAAATCAATGATATATCATGTATGAAATTCCATAATTGAGGTCTGACGTTTAAAAAAGAACTTTCCTTTTTGAAATTTGGATTTTCCAATTGTCATAGGGTTTAGGACTAAAAAAATTACATTTGAAATCATAGAAGCAAAACCTGCTCTACTGAAAAATTGTTATCTGCATAATATTTTGCTTGTTAGGTGGGCCTAATGAGACTGGCATCTTATTTTTCCAGTCTCGAAGAGAATGGCAGCTTTGTGACGTTACTTTCGCAGACCTCAGGGGAGGTCAGATGATACCATGCCAAGCACAACTTGCACATATCATAATATTAAATAACAAGAAGTTCAGGTTCCCCCCCCAACACACACACACCATTTCTTTGGATTAGTTATCAGGTCTTAAAAGGCAAACTACGGTTTCCAAACTTTAAGGAACACATATATTATTACAGCCTAGCTCAGATTTCACCTGCCTGGGGGAGAGGGTATTATTCTTGGGGATGTGAATGACAACCCATTATTACCATTAACACAGTAGTACATATCAGAGGTGATAGTCACTTCTGTTTTTTTTTTTTCTTCCCTGAAAACAATAATATTTCCCAAAAGAATAAAACAGAAGGGCTGAAGTAAGCTGAAATAATCGCACAAAATGATTTCCTCCCTGAATTGCGAGGGTGGGGGTACTTTTTAGGAAGTTTCAGCAAACATAATCTCAAACAGCTAGGAAAAGGAACCCTAATTTAGTGCTCAACAATCATGCCTAGGTTTGTTTAATGTTTGGTGTGAAAATAATTTCACTCTACATAAATTTCTTAATGTAATTGCCACCTGAGGAGAGAAAGAAGCTACAAACAAATGGTCGTACATTTTGTGGCTCTATCTAACATAAATAAGCTAAAATTTATCCACCAGTTTTATGATGCATTTTCCTCTAAACGTGGCTCCATCTCAGAACTACTGCAGCAAGATACTGAAAACCTTTAATGAGAAACATAAAACATGTGCAGATAAGGTAAGTAAATATTTATGTATTCTAAGTCACTGAGAGACACCTCAGTTATCATTTAGATGTCTTGACACTGTTTTATTCCCAATTGTTTGTAGGCATTTTTCTGCTACCCCTAAAATAAGCGAGTTTCATCATGAGTAGACACGTAAAGCCTGGCCAAGGTGTTACAGCACTGCCTCCGGGTTTATTTGATAAAATCCTGTTCCACGGGAAAGTAAATCATGTTGCTTACCTGAAATGTGAGAGACTGGACTGAGCAGAACTCCGAGGAAACCCATTTGCTCTTCTATTATTTTTAAAAACATGTAAGTTTTTGACACTGATTCCTGATCTGATCCTCAAGAGGTGACTTTCATTATAAAGGAATGACAGTTCTGTTATAGAACTCAAACTTGTCTGTGCATCCAATGCGCAGCCAGCCAATGTCTGAGACATGACTCAGAAGCAAAGAGAGCTTTGTTGTCAGAAGGGCAGCCCAAGGAGAAGGCAGGGGATCATTCCCAAAGCTGCCTTGCCCAGTTGAGGCTAGGAACAGTTTATATATGTTTGGGGAAGGAGGTGAATACACAGAGGAAGGTGAAAGGTTTCTTGCAAACTTGAGTGGGGGGGGGGTGCCTTGAAACTACCTGGAGGTACCCATTCTTTCATACAATGAGGCACCCTTTGGAACCTGGAGATCAGGTAAGCAGATAAGTTCAATACAAATGTTAGCATCATCGGATCCCCATCAGGTTACTACAATCAGTGGGTAAACAGGGAGCAGGAGCGGAAAAGGCAAAGTTAATGGTTGGTAAGAGGTGCATAAAACATAATTAAGTAGGGAACAAAACAGAACATGGAGATAAGTTAATAACAACTAACACAACTATAGTTCTGCTTATGCTTTCAAAGTAGGTCCAGGAACCAGGTGTCCAGCCTCAGCTGCTTTATAATACATCTGACCAAGGTTTAGATATTATAATGCTCTTGAATATAGTTCTATAACAAGGTTTCTCACAAGACCAGAAAAGATCCTCTCTCCCCTTCATTCCTTTCTCACTCCTGCTTTCAATTACTGGTTTCTCAAAATCATTCAGGAAACTATGGAAGACAATTAACGGGCTATTGGAAAGCACAGAGCAACTGCCCAAGGACAGGAAAATGCACTAGCTCTTTTGAGAAGGATCTGGGAAATAGCATGCAGATCATTGTCACTGAGTTGGCATTAGATGATTTCTTTTTCACAGCGTAAGGTATAGTAGCCATTATTTAGCTGTTAATGAAACACGATGCGCAGTCTGTCTTTAGGTCTCTGGGTTTCCTGTGGTATTTTTTTCCCATCTTGACCAAGTCCTACTTCATTCTCTTTTAATAGTTATGATGAGTTTTTGGCCAGAAGCACTTGCATAATACTGCCAGGTTATAGCTTATTTTCAGAGAAATAGTTTAGCCATCCTCAGCATCAAACAGAAGCAATTAATGGCACAGATGTCCTTATGAACGTGCAGGGCACCTCGTCCTTTGTTATTCAGAAATTATTTTTAGTTAGTTTATATTCTCTTTTAATGTGTTAAGGATATGCCCTTTATATTCCCTCATAATCCCTTAACTGAGACAGAACTAGTTACATTTCTTCTAATATATATATAAATAATGCTTTTAATATAAATAATAATTTATATTAATATATTAGTATATTTAATAAATTATATATATATAAATAATGCTTTTCTGTGATTATGTCCTACACTTACGTGCATCTTCGTAAAATATCACATTTGTTTAGTGCTGCTAAATTTTCCATGAAGTTTCATCCATTCATTCAATATGTTTATTGAGTATCAGTTACTGAGGGTACTTGAGTGAATGAAAGGATGGAAGGATGACTTTACCTTTGAAAGGTACTTGAGTGAACAAAGTAGGCAAAATCCCCACCCTTAAGAAGCTTACATTATTTTCAAGTTGTTCTACCTTCAGGTGATCTTTTAAAAAATAAAAATCCCCATCTTATAAAACCAACCTATTTGGCCTCTTCATATGTACAAATCATAGCCAGCATTTAGAAATAGCATTTATAAAACATTTCTTTTGTGTCTGACAATGTGCTAACCACTTTACATTTAGCTTATTTAATCCTCACAATAGCTCCAAAATGAGGTATTACTATGATCCTTAGTTTACAGATGAGGAAAAGGGGCTCAGAGAGATTAGTTAAGGGGAAGTTCGAAAATTAATAAAGGGAAACCTCACCAAAGTGGACTGGGGAGGCTAGAAAGGGGAATACCACTCAATGTCAATTACAGGAAGGACTGTCAATTACAAACTCCAAAATTAGTGTCAATTACAGACTCAAGGAAAGAATTCTCAGTAGGAAACAATCATCAATTACAGGTCCCAACAGAAAAAAGATGTACACTGCATCTCCTCTAAGAAATTCATTACTTCTGCAACTCAGCCAATGAGAAACCCTAATTACCTGGAGATCTTTCAAAACAACCCCTCCCAATTTCCTCCTTCTTCTCCATACAAATAACATTCCCCTACTGTGTTTGTGGGGTTTGCCAGTGGTTTGACTGTAACTTGCTTGTCTTGCATTTTACATTACCTGCCATTACCGAGTAAACCCACTTTTTTGATGGTAAAATAAGTTTTTTTTTTAAGGTTATCAGAAGGGGTGCCTGGGTGGCTCAGTCGTTAAGCGTCTGCCTTCAGCTCAGGTCATGATCCCAGGGTCCTGGTATCGAGCCCCACATCGGGCTCCCTGCTCAGTGGAGAGCCTGCTTCTCCCTCTTCTGCTCCCCCTGCTTGTGTTCCCTCTCTCACTGTCTCTGTCAAATAAATAAAATCTTAAAAAAAAAAAAAAGTAAGGTTATTAGAAGATACAAGATTAGATTTCCCTTGGCTTATAACAACCGTTTCATATTTCAGATGATACTTTACATATATTTGGTGAACAGAAGAATGACCGCATGTACTTTTTTGGATTCCCATTCAGCTAAGCATCAACATCAACAACTTCTATCATCCTAGAACAATCTAGGCATTTTGTGGGGAGAGAAGATGGGAAGGGGGGGTAGGGATTTTTTTTTCCCCAGTGAATTTAGGCAGATGATCTTAGGGGTGGGTGCTTGCTTGGCCATCATTGGAGGTGGTTGCCTTATCAGGTGAGAGCGAAAGTGAGACATCAATTCCCTCTGCTTTGGGGACTCAACCTGAGTTGCTTCTGGGATTCAAGCTCATCAGAATGGTGAGAAGCGTTCCCTCAAGAGCACCAGGAATCAGAGGACCCTTGGGGGTAGGTACCAGGTGCCCTCAAGGTGATGTTAAACCAGAGGCCACCAGAGCTCTGAGAAGGACGAAACCAAGGAACCTTCCAGGTAGTTGGCATGAGGGGCTGCCTATGAAGCTATATAGGGTCTGGAAAGATGAAAAGCACTGTCGTGTGGGGTAAAACCACAGAAAGTCGTGGCTGCGTAAGGAAACACTGACCTTCCCTATCGCCTCACTGCACGACCCCAGGAATCCAGTTTAATCCATGAGGTTCCTACAAGATCCTTCCCGGTCCCCAGCCACGCTTCCCGCAGCCAGGTATGCGCATGCGCAGAGAGAGTCCAGCTGCGGTCGCAGGAGCCGGAGGGCATCGATCGACTCTAAGCTCGACTGCTCGAATTGTCGGCGCTTGATTGAGGCGCGTGGTAGCGTAACTTCCGGTAGCGGCTCCGTTTCCGGCTTTCGGTTCGTGGGGGACCAGCGTAGGCCTCAGGTGAGTTGGAACGCGGTCTCGTTCGCTGTTTCCGTTTTCCGGGTAGTCGGCCGCCTCTCGGCCTGACGCCCGTTTGTGCGAGCAGGGAGTGGACGGGGCGCGGTGCTGGGAACGGCGAGTGTTTGCTCCCGGGTTCGCGGAGGGGTTGGCGAGAGGGCGGGAGGAGTTGGAAACTAACGCGCTGGTCCTGCTAGGCCTCCGAATTTAGGAGAATTGTCTCTAGTGGGAAGGGTTGGGATCGGCGATCGCTTGGCCGCTTCCTGGGGCTTTGGTCGAACTTGCCACGGCTAGAGAAGCGGGAGGCTGCCTTTGGACTCCAGGTGCCCTTGCTCTAGTCCAGACCGCTCTCAAACCTCGCGTGAGATCTTGCAAGAGCCTCCCCTTTGAGAGCTCCGCCTTCAGTTTGACGTCTCACTCTCTTCTTCTTGTCGTTTTCGCGACCCCAGCCCTTCCAGGTTTCAGGTAAGGGGGGGTGGGTCGCAGATCTCTGAGAAGCGAGATCTCTGAGTTACCTTTCACCTGTTCCGCACAAGTGCAGTCCTTGTCTGTAGGCTTTTCCCTTATCAGGCTTCCTATACTGTTCACACACAGTGGGTTTAAAATTGGTGAAATGAAAGTATATGGGGGGGGGCACCCAAGGAAATAAAGCAGGGTCACAGTTGGCAACTAAAAACGGTGTAAAAAATGAAATAGTCAAGTGATTGTGAAAGAAAAGTGCAAAAGGCGAGGAAACAAGGGTGGAATTCCCAAGTCTGCTGTTTATTAGCTAACGATTAGTCTAACGATAACGGTAACAAGTCCTTTACCTGTCTTAGCCATTAATAACAGCTACTCGAAGTGTTCACTGCCCATCTGAGAGCTGTGCCAGAACTTTGTCATCTAGTCTTCTGAGTTCTAGTAGGTAAGTGTTGTTACACCAGCCCCATTTTACAGCCGTAGACCTGAGATTAAAGAACTTGCCTTCAGTCAAGCAGTTAGTAATAAGCATACATAGGATTTGAATTCAGAGGAGGCTGGTACTAGAATCCGAGCTCTTAACCATCATGCCATACTGCTCTCTGAGCTCCATAATTTCAAGTCCCTTAGAGTTGTGTGATGGTGTATATAAAGTAAGTAACTGATAGGAAAGCACTTTTTAAGTGTACTCCTTAAGTATTGCTTGGCATACATCGTTAATGTGTTAATGATTTTTACTGGGCACACATTTGCTAGTTTCTTTCTCATTTCCCTTAAAACCTAAAATATTATTTTAAAAATAATTAAGTGGGGCACCTGGGTGGCTCAGTCGGTTAAACATCCAATTCTTGATCTCAGCTCAGATCTTGATCTCAGGGTTGCGAGTTCAAGCCCCACGTTGGGCTCCATACTGGGTGTGGAGCCTACTTAAAAAAATAAAATAATTTCATTAAAAAACAAAGGTTATTTTGTTAGGTGAAAAAACTTGTTGCAAGTGAAAGATAAATTAAAAAATAAATGTATTGGGTGAAATAATGTTATTAAAATCTGCCTAGATACTGGTGCTCCACCAAGTTTTGTGCCTGAGAACTATTTTTTGTTGTTGTTTAAAAAGGAGGGCTAGCAAGTGCTGGAGAGGTTTTAAAGACTACTAACAAAAACTGATATTTTCTGACATTTGGGATTGAAAGAAAATTGAGAAGTTAATAGTCCCTGTGTTAGGCGAGCCTGGGTGGCTCAGTCGTTAAGCGTCTGCCTTCAGCTCAGGTCATGATCCCAGGGTCCTGGGATCGAGCCCCACATCGCACTCCCTGCTTGGCGGGAAGCCTGCTTCTCCCTCTCCCGCTCACCCTGCTTGTGTTCCTGCTCTCGCTCTCTCTCTGTCAAATAAATAAATAAAATCTTTAAAAAAAATAATAATAATCCCTGGGTTGTCCTTATACGACACAACAGTGTGAGTTAATGCTCCCTGTTTATAACAGAATATTTACTGTCTCCTTAGGCAGTTTGAACAGTTTAACTCCAAACATGGATATCAGACCAAATCATACAATTTACATCAACAATATGAATGACAAAATTAAAAAAGAAGGTAAGTGCTTTTAAAAACCATTTGTTCACAACCGAAGTGCATTTAATTGCTAGCGTCTTAAAAACTGTACTGCTTCAAAACTTGTCATGTAGTAATTTTTGTCAGTACCTGAAATAATGGCTTGTTCCTTTTGTGTGAGAATTTTAAGGCTTTTTAAAAACAAAAGTAGGTAGGGGCTGGAAATTTGGTGAATATGTTTTCACTCAGATAAAATGATTTGAAACAACTTTTAGGGGCGCCTGGGTGGCTCAGGTCATGATCCCAGAGTTCTGAGATCAAGCCCTGAATCGGTTCCCTGCTCTGTGGGAAACCTGCTGCTCCCTCTCCCACTCCCCCTGCTTGTGTTCTTTCTCTCGCTGTGTGTCTCTCTGTCAAATAAATGAATAAAATCTTAAAAAAAAATACAACTTTTAAAATTAGATAGCCAGTAGTATAATGTGATTTTATTAAAATATGTAACTTTAAGTAAATGCGTGGTGGGGGGCACTCATTGCAGTGTCATTTTATGAAGAGTTTTGCCACTGTTTCTTTAATAAATAAATTGTTTTCCCCTCTACTTTTGCTCAGAGTTGAAGAGATCCCTGTATGCCCTGTTTTCTCAGTTTGGCCACGTTGTAGATATTGTAGCTTTAAAGACCATGAAGATGAGGGGGCAAGCCTTTGTTATTTTTAAGGAACTGGGCTCATCCACAAATGCCTTGAGACAGTTACAAGGATTTCCATTTTATGGTAAACCAATGGTAAGGCAATCTTATATTTTGGGTTTAATCACTTAATGGTATGTTAGGTTTGTAGATATGCATTTGAAACTATGGCTGTTCCTTTCTGTTTTTAATTGTTAAAGCAAGTTTGGGTTTATTTTATTTACACATTTGTATTTATAGAAACACAGTAATAGAGTTTATAATTCACTAGTTTATGATAGTTCAGATGGGCAATAACAAAATACAATATTTTTTAAACATTGTACACCTAGATGTACAATGTTTAAAAAATAGTGGCAGTATTGGCAATATTCTCATCTCAGAAGAACTACAAGTTAACTCAAGATTAAAAAGAAACCTTTTTTGTAAACTTGTAAAACAATACAAAACACAAAAATCATGGGTCAGAGAGGAAATCGATTTGAAGTTTCAGAAAATAGCATAGCAAAATACATATCAGAAGCCATGCAGTCTAGAAAAAGCAGTGATCTAAGAAAAATTCATAGGTTTAAATCATAGGTTTTATTGATGAATAAACAATGAGTGACAGTGAAACAGTCATGCATAGAAAGTTTTAACCTCAGGAATGATGTGAGATTCACATTTAGCTGCTGGGTGAAGATTGGGTTGTTGGAGGGCCGAGAGGGACTAGGGAACTCAGGAGGCCACTGTCTAGAAATTATTGGCACTGGCTTCACTTTGCCAACTAAATATTTTAAATCAATGGAATCATGTGTACCTACAGAGTACCTTGGGTACGGATTCCTAGTGCTTTTTCCTGAGACTAGAATGGGATGAGAAGAGACCTTGAGGAGAAAGCCAAGGCCCAGAGTTTCCAGGCCCTGGATCCTCATTCTGACTCTACCATTAACTGGCTGTGTGCCTGTGTTCATTTTCAGTACCTATAAAACGTAAGCAGATTGGTTATCCTTTAGGCTAATTCAGAGGTCAGCAAAAACTTTATATAAAGGACTGGATAGTAAATATTTGAGGCTTTGTGGGCCACAGTTTCTGTCACATATTCTTGTGTCTGTGTGAGTTTTTTTTAACAACCCTTTAAAACTGTAGGGAAAAAAGAAGTCCTTAACCTATAGGCCATACAAAAACAGGCCATGGGCTGGCTGGATTTGGCCCATAGTCTAGCGCAGATACTGGTTTAATCCCTTTATTTTAGAAATGAAGAATCGGGAAAAAAAAAAGAAAGAGATAGAATGAAAGAATGAATCAGGCACAGAAAGGTTAATTGCCAGTCTAGGTTATATTAATACAACCAATGGCAGTACAAGGCCTCGAAAGCTAACCTGACACCCAGTATTACGATTTTTCCCCCCAAACTAGGAGTTGGCACACTGTCCTAAAGGGCCACATAGTAAGTATTTTAGGCCTTGTGAGCCAGATGATCTCTCCTGCAGCTGTTTAACTGCCTTTATGGCAGCAAAAGCAGCTGTAGATGGTATGCAAATGAACGAATGTGGCTGTGTTCCAGCAAGACCTGATTTATAAAAACAGGCAGTGTTGGCTGTGGTCATTGGTTCAAGGGCCTTTATATAGCTCATTATTTAATTCAGGAGTGGGCATTTTTTTCTCTGTTACTAGAGCAAGTTTTCTTCTCCTTTTCTATCCAGTTCCCCTTTTCCCATCACTTCTCACCTGATGGGCACCAGCTGTGTGGAAAGGCCCACCTCAGAAAACTAGGATTGTGCCTTCATACACTCTTTTTAATAAGTTGGAATTGCCTGAAACCAGTTTGTCTGTCTTAGTAAGTATGAAGAAATAGTATAATGGAGATCGCAGTTGGCAGGAGCATAAGACTGGGTTTTAGTTTAAATCGAAAATTACATTAATATGGAGGAACGATTTCTTCCTATACAGGGTTTTGTTTTATTGAGTTGAGATGACAAGTTTGCATGCGCCAGTCACTCAGATACAGGAAAGCTAGACATTTTTGGCACTGGCTTCACTTTGCCAACTAATTATTTTAAGTCAATGGGAAAAGTCCAGTAGACTGATAATGCTCTAAAAGTGTTTTATGAGTTCCATTTCTACCTTCAGGAAGGTAGCAGATACTGCCAAATTTCCAGCATCCTGGAAGAGGAAGAAGAATGTTCTTTGAGCTGTCTTGCTTTGTGTTCATTCAGGTGGTTTTAGTTGCTCTTCTGTTTTAAATCCCAACATACCAGATCAGAAGTAAGCAAAATTTGCTGTAACTTGGAACTCATAACAAAATTACCCAAATTCAAGGAAATTTGGTTATTTAATGCCAAAAATACCTCAGTAATGTAGAACCATCTTCCTGAATGGCTTCTGTTATGAAACCTTTGGCATAAATGTAAACCTTGCTCCTTTTCTAAGCTGTGGGTATACTTTTTTTTGTCCCTTATGGGTCTTTGGCCTCCAACCAAGGTTTTTCAGCATTGGTACTTTTGACATTTTGACCTGAATAATTCTTGTTGTGGTGGGCTATCGTGTTCATTGCAGTGTTTAGCAGCATCCCTGGGCTCGATCTACGACATGCCAGTAGCATGACAACCCAGACTGTCTCCATTCAATAGCACCAGTTGTCCCCTGTGGACAAAATCACCTCTGGTTGAGAATCAATAGTGTAGATCAGCCAGCTGAGAATGATGGCTGAGATCAGGGATTTTTCACAGGTGACTGTGTCATAAGGACAGGTCACCCAAGATCTGTTCAGGTCAGGGAGAAGGTTGAAGACACAGGGGAGATGGCAGGGGAGTCCTTGGGACTAAGAGTCAGTCTAAGCGGGTGCCTGGGTGGCTCAGTCGTTAAGTGTCTGCCTTCAGCTCAGGTCATGATCCTGGGGTCCTGGGATCAAGTCCTGCGTCAGGCTCCTTGCTTTGCGGGGAGCCTGCTTCTCCCTTTCCTTCCCACTGTGCTCTCTCTCACTATCTCTGCCTCTCACTCTCTCAAATAAATAAAATCTAAAAATTAAAAAAAAAGAGTCTAAGCATTCCTTCTGGTTAGATGATGACATGCCAAACCAGCAGTTGCTTACAGGGATAAGTCCGCTTAGAAACCCTATGGTACTGTAGCCCAGAATAGTCAGAGAAAGCTTTGCATACTGAGGTGAGGGTAGGATGCTCCCCTCTTGTTTTCCCAGCACACTCATCTCTAGCTGGGGAAAAAGAGAGACTTGCTTTTGGTTTTAACAAATTTTCTTTCAAACCCATGCTGTTTTAGGTCACTTGTTTCCTTTCAGACTGAGATGAAATTCTTATTCTATAAGGCAATTTTAGATAGTAATTTGTAGGACTCTTGTGTTTTGATATGGTCAGAGAGGTTGTTTCAGCTCATTCAGCTCCAGAGAAGAAATGTTTCCTGGAAATGGAAATTGCATTTTGCAAATAGATACACCCTAGAAAATGGTTTAACTCCTAGCAAAAATTTGGGTGATTGGTGTTGAATCTAGCTGTGTGATAATGCTTTAGGCCAAGGCCATGCTACTCAAAGTGTGGGCCCCACCATCCACTTTGTGCCTCTTAGAAGTGCAGAATCTCAGGCCTCATTCAGACCTACTGCATCAGAATCTGCAGTCTTCCATGTAGTTAGAATGCATGTTAAAGTTTACCAAATGCTCTCCTAGACTAGGGTTTTTAAAAGCTCTCCTGTTGTCTTGCTGGCATACTGTTCTTGCTGGCCGTGGTATAGGAAGAATCAGCAAGTGGCCTGATTGCACTAGCTGAGATGCTAGTTTGTTTCTTTTCAAAGCATTTTGAAGTTTAAATTGTTGCCACTATTAGTCATTTCATTTAAAAATCCTAGATCAGATTCAAAGGGAAATCATTCTCAATCTTGAGTACTTTACCTTTGGAAATAACAAATTCCATATAATACATTCCACAGCTAATCGACACATCTTGACCCTTTTATTGAGAGTCCTTACCAAGGAGTAGACAACTTTCCAGTGCTTTTTTCTGTTTCATGAAATTGAGAGAAGCCATGGTGCAGATGTTGCAAAGTTCTGTGTTTCCCATATGAAAATCTATGGGTTTTCTTCTAATAAGCATAGTTGAGTCTAACTTTGTCTAAGTTGTGAATCATAGACCACAATTTATTTTCATTTGGTGCTCAGTGTATTTGACAGATTTCCTTAGGGATGTGTTTAAAACCAGCTTGTAGTGTGTTTGTGTAATGAAATTTGAAATACTAATGAAGAGTATAAACAGCTTTCAGCATAATGAATAGTAACCTGTTTCCAAATAATTAAAACAGCGAATCCAGTATGCAAAAACAGATTCTGATATAATATCTAAAATGCGCGGCACTTTTGCTGACAAAGAAAAGAAGAAGGAAAAGAAAAAAGCAAAAACTGTGGAACAGACTGCGACCACTGCAAACAAAAAGCCTGGTCAGGTGAGATGAACAAAGTTCCTAGGTTTGTTGGTGTTAAGAACTTGATAGGGATGTCCGTTTTCCACTTAAGGGGTGATCTTTGGGGTGTGTGTGTCTGTATGTGCCTGTGTGTGTGTTTAAAAGGTGCAATTTCAAGAAGCTGGAATTGGTTGAGTTCTAGAATTCCGATATTTATATTTAAGCCCTGAATTAAATCTAAACCCTTAAAAACGCAGATTTATATTAAACAGTTTTATTTGAATTTGTATGACATTTAGTTCCATCATTCTTCAAAATATGTTAATATTTGCTGGCATCTTTCTCAAGTTCTACTGCCTGTCAATAATGCTATAGATATTATCTTTTATCTTGAGTACTCCACACAAAGCTGCTTTCTTTGAACCGTTCAGGATTCAAAAATCTAATTTAAAATGCCAGATAAAAGTGAGATTATCGTCCAAAATGCAGTTACTTTTGGATTGAAAGTCATTAGAAATCAGTTTCAAGAAGTACAATGCTTGACTTCTGTCTGATTGTTAAAAAAAAGACTGGTTCTTGGTTTTTCCGTATATATTTCTCCATAATTTTGAAGGTTAGAGATTAAATTTTATGATTAACAGTCTTTAAAATTTTGGACTAGATCTTTCAAAATTAACTGACTTTAAAATTTTGGACTAGATCTTTCAAAATTAACTGACAAGTTAAAGTTTGACTCAGGTACCATGTAAATTCTTAGAATAAGAAATCTTTTTAAATTAATGTGTTTTTTTAAGGTTTTAATTCCAGTAGAGTTAGCTTAAGTGTTGTTAGTTCCAGGTGTATAGTATAGTGATTCAACACTTCTGTACATGACTCCGTGCTTGTCACGATAATTATCCTCCTTAATCCCTGTCCCCTATTTCTCTCATCCCTCTACCCATCTCCCCTCTGGTAACCATCAGTTTGTTCTATGTAGTTAAGGGTCTGTTTCTTGCTGTGTGTCTCTCTTTTTGTTTTTCCTTTGTTTGTTAGTTTTGTTTCTTAAATTCCACATATGAGTGAAATCATACAGTATTTGTCTTTCTCTGACTGACTTATTTCATTTAGCATTATGCCCTCTGGTTCCATCCGTGTTGTTGCAAAACACAGGATTTCATTCTTTTTTATGGCTGAATAATATCACATTGGATATATACACCACATCTTTATCCATTTATCTATCAGTGGACACTTGGGTGGCTATTGTAAATAAAGCTGCTATAAAAATGGGGGTGCATGTATCCCTTTGAATTAGTGTTTTTGTATTCTTTGGGTAAATACCCAGTAGTGCGATCACTGGATCATGGGGTGGTTCTATTTTTAATTTTTTGAGGAATCTCCACACAGTTTTCCAGAGTGGCTGCACCATTTGCCTTCTGACCAGCAGTGCAAGAGGGTTCCTTTTTCTCCACATCCTCACCAACACTTGTGGTTTCTTGTGTTTCTGATCTTAGCCATTCTGACAAGTATGGGGTGACATCTCCTTGTAGTTTTGACTTGCATTTCCCTGATGATGAGTGATATTGAGCATCTTTTCATGTGTCTGTTAGCCATCTCTTTGTCTTTGGAGAAATGTCTGTTCATGTCTTCTGCCCATTTTTTAGTTGGATTATTTGTTTTTTGGGTGTTTCATCAGTTTCTAATATACTTCGGATACTTAACCCTTTATCGGTTATGTCATTTGCAAATATCTTCTCCCATTTAGTAGGTGGCCTTTTAAAAATTAATGTTATTTTTATGCAGTAATTAAAATTATAATCACCTGTTGCTGTTTTAGAGCGATCAGAAATTTTAACTGTTTTCTATTTCTTTTGTTTAGGGAACACCAAATGCAGCAAATACCCAAGGAAATTCAACACCAAATCCTCAGGTAATCTTTGTTTCCGTGGGTGCTTGCTTTTTAAAGTAAAATTATAAACCAATAAGAATAATATACAACAACTTGCCTGTCTCCAAAAAATGAAAATAATTCCTTTTACAAGACATGAAATTAGGGGCGCCTAGGTGGCTCAGTTGTTAAGCGTCTGCCTTCGGCTCAGGTCATGGTCCCAGGGTCCTGGGATTGAGCCCTGCATCAGGCTCCCTGCTCCACAGGAGGCCTGCTTCTCCTCCCATTCCCCCTGCTTGTGTTCCCTCTCTTGCACTGTGTCTCTCTCTGTCAAATAAATAAATAAAATCTTTAAAAAAAAAAAAAAAAAGACATGAAATTATATAACACTTTAACATAGAAACTCACTTCTCAAAACATTGCAATTTTTTTAAGGGGCAGAAATGAAACCTGACTTTATTCCTTGCTTTCCATAATGTTTCGATGATGGAATCAAAATGACAGATTTTAAACTACAAAGGCTGGGAGTGAACTATTTTCGCTACAGTATGTACAAAGCCCCCAGGACTTTACAGACACACAGGTTGGGGAAGTTGGTCAGGTGAATGGGCTCTCTTTCCCTACCAGTTGCTCAAAGCACTGAACTGTCTTTTTTAAATAGAGCAAGGTTGTTTTATGGTTACTCTTGCTCCGGCTTCCGATAACAAATATATGTCTCTTTATAGATAGGTTTTAGAAACCTCTTAGCAAATCTCCCTGCTGGAGGCCTCAAAGAGAAAGTCTCAATTAGGTACTAATGGTTTCCTCTTGGTTCCTTGGATGCTTGAGTCTGACAAGATCCTTAAGTCTGGAGAATTCCTTGCACCTCAGAGCTTTCCTTCTCTGATTTGAAGTTATGTGCATTTTCCTATATTCTCTCCCTCCCTCCTTTGGAGTCTTTCAGCAATTATAGTACAGCTTACAAATGCCAGCACTTAATTCTCTAAGCCTTAAGTTCTTTACATGTCCTCTTTTCTCTTCATGAAAGTAGCCGCCTGAAGACAGAGAGGCTCTTAGGTACAGGATGACCCTGTCCCTATAGTTCCCCATAACCCCAGCTTAGGGTATCAGATAATTAGTTTAACATCTAATAATACTTGTTTCTACTTATTGGATGTAACCAGATGGTCTGTATATCTCATTTACTTGCAGAAAACATTAAAAGTCACCAAGTATTGGCTCTAAGTGGTAGTTCCAAATTGTCTTAAATGCTGGGAGATTGTAAACAATAACTCCGAGGATTGAAACCTGAGTTATTATTCAGGTAACCAGCTGAAGATGGGTGACACTGCTGTCTTCTCTAGTTTTGTTAGGGTCTTTCAGTTATGTAATCTAGTTGACAATCCTTCCAGTACAGCTGACTCTGGATGCTTAAAACTTAAACATTGTTTTAAATACTATTAAATACTTTAAACTTTAAATACAAACTAAGATTTGTAATCATCCAAATTTGTATTAAGTGACTTGAATGTCTGCGTAGTTGCTGTTAGGTTTATGTTTATTTCTCTGGTGTCATTGTTTTTCAGCATTAGTGTTCGCTGTAGTGCTACAATTTCATAATCCTTAATAAACTGGAACGTAGCTCTCTGAAGTTTAGATTTTAATGTAAGAACCGAATGGTTTACTATACTTTTTATACTTAAAGCTAACTTTGCCTTTTTTCTTTGTAATAGGTCCCTGATTACCCTCCAAACTATATTTTATTCCTCAATAATTTACCAGAAGAGACCAATGAGATGATGTTGTCCATGCTGTTTAATCAGTAAGTTTTATCGTAAACCAGTCTGTGTTCTGAAAGCCTCCCAACAGGACAAATAGTTCTTCTATGGGTTGAATCCTTTTGTGTATCGCAACAGTAATTCCTATAGCGTCCTTGATTTGGTCTGGGATTAATGATGTGAATTAAAGCCAATCTGCAGATTTAGCAAATAAAAAGCTGAATTACCTCTAATGTTTGAATACTCTTAATTGATGAGTATAAGAGGAAACAAAGCTTTGATATAGTGACAAAATTGAACTAGCTTACATTATACCTGTACTTCTTTCATTGTATTATTATTTGTATTTTAGATTCTTTCAGCCTACTCAGGATTCTTGGTAGGATATGATACTTTTCCTAGACCAGTATTGGGAAGTTGCTGATTTAAACACAGAATAAGCATTCATGTATTTGATATCCTTTATATCCTTTATATATTTATGTATATAAATTGTTTCTCTTGTAGATTTCCTGGCTTCAAGGAAGTACGTTTGGTACCTGGGAGGCATGACATTGCTTTTGTTGAATTTGAAAATGATGGACAGGCTGGAGCTGCCAGGGATGCTTTACAGGGATTTAAAATCACACCGTCCCATGCCATGAAGATCACCTATGCCAAGAAATAACATATGGGAGAGTTGTCTTTAAAGCACTTGGTGTTATTTATAGTGTTTGTTTTGATAACATTTGGTCAGGCCATTTTTTAATAGTTGGGATGAGGGAGAGTGGAAGTGAGATTTTTGTGAATGATTTTAAAAAATACCTAGGCTTTGTTTAGCCTTAGTGAACTATGAAATATGAAGGCCTCAGTTTTGTATAATAAACTTTTACTGGTATTCTTTACCTAATACTTTATTTATTCCGTTGTCCTGTCATCAAATGTTTATGCTAGTCTAGAGCACCTCTTAAGGTATATAAAACTGTAATAGGATGCTTTCCTAGTATTATTTTGGAGCAGCTAATGGCAGAGAAACATTGAATCTTTTTTTTAATATTTTATTTATTTATTTGAGCGAGAACATGAGCAGGGGGAGGGGCAGAGATAGAGGGGGAGAGATTCCTCAAGCAGACTCCCCGCTGAGTACGGAGCCCGAGGCAGGGACGCAGAACTCGATCCCAGGACCCTGAGCTCATGACCTGAGCCTAAGTCAGCCACCTACCCGACTGAGCCACTCAGACGCCACCATTGAATCATTTTAACAAAAGGAGAATTAGATCAAGTCCTTGATTAGACTTCTTGTAGTTTTTTTTTATTCATATGGACTGCCAATCCTGGAGTTCTGTGTGTATGTTGCATTAATGGTAAAAATAATTGCCCTAAGTGTTAGAAGAAAATGAGACCTGGACAGGAACCAAATTTGAACTTTGTGTTCTTCAAATAAGTGAGCATCATTTCTTGGTGGTAGTAGGCATTTCACAAAGCTTTTCATTCAGCATTTAATTGGATAAAGGCCATTTCGGAGTAACTTATGTTTTCTGGGAAAACAAGGAAAGGGAATGCTGTCTTTCAACTTCGTATTTCATGCTCTTATCCTCTTGATGCAGGATTTTTCCTAAGGAATACCTGCTTGTCTAATAACCTAACCTTTTCTTTAGGAAGGTTTCCCTCCAAGGGAAAGAATTTACAATCTAAAAAATTTTTTAAGATAAATAGGCTGACTTGTGAAGAATTGCCAATTCTAACCTTGATATGTCTTTGTAATTCTCAAACACCTATGTTTAATTCTTAAACACCAAAGCTCGTTTTCTTTAGCTTTTGATTTATACCTGAGGCTGTGATTCAGTCCCCTGCTAGTAAAACCATGGGCATCTGTAGAAGTGGACAATTTTTTGCACCTACAGCACACATTAAAGTGACACTTGATCATTTTTTCATGTTTTTCTTTGAATATTTCCTTGAACAAAAGTTTGAATTTTTATTGTATACTTAATGGGAAGACTACTTTTTAGACTTATGTAGATTTTTGTCAGGTCACTCTTATGTACACATGAGGAAAAAGCAAAATAATTTTTATTCCTAAAGCTGCCACATTTAGAATCTCTCTTTTTTTTTAAAAGATTTTATTTATTTGAGAGAGAGCACAAGTGGAGGGAGGTGCAAAGGGAGAGGGAGAAGCAGACTCCTCGCTGAGCAGGGAGCCTGACACAGGGCTGGATCCTAGGTCACTGAGATCATGAGCTGAGCCAAAGGCAGACGCTTAACTGACTGAGCCACCCAGGTGCCCCTAGAGTCTGACTTACTTGAATAACTTAACTTAGTTTTCAAGTTTATGTACTCTTGTAAAATGTATTAAGAATGAATTACTAGAAAAAGGACCATACTCTTGAGATGTTAGAGCAATGCCAGTTGCTATTACATTTTCTAACCCCTTCCTCTCAGTGACTGTCCTTACCTTTTCTGAGAAAAGGGTTTCACAGACATCCCTGCTTTGAGGGTCTGTATGAGAGGAAGTAGAAAGGGCTGTGTAGCTGGAGTGGGGCGAGAGGGAGGGAGGGAGGGGAGAGTAAGATGGGACTATGTAGGCCTTTTTAAGGACTTGCTTAAATTCTGAAATGGGGAACTCAGATTTTATTTTAATTTTTATTTTTTTTTTTAGATTTTATTTATTTGACAGAAACAGAGGGAACACAAGCAGGGGGAGTGGGAGAGGGAGAAGCAGGCTCCCTGCTGAGCAGGGAGCCCGATGTGGGGCTAGAGTTCAGGACCCTGGGATCATGACCTGAGCCGAAGGTAGATGTTTAACGACTGAGCACCCAGGCAACCCCCCCTTTTTTTAAGATTTTATTTCAGATTTTTAAAAATTATTTACATGCAATAAAATTCACCCATTTTTAATGAGTTTGGTGAGTGACCCAATTTGATGGGTTTTGACAATTGTATACGGTTGTGTAATAACCATAATCAAGATACAGAGCCTTCCATCACCCCTCAAAAACAGACTCCCTTTGCCCCTTTGCAGTTAATCCATTCCCCACCCCTGACTCTAGGCAACCAATGGTCTGCTTTCTAGCACTATAATTGTCCCCAGTCCAGAATACTTTTGGGGCCACCTGGCTGGCTCAGTCGGTGGAGCATGCAACTCTTGATTTCAGGGTTGTGGGTTCGAGCCCCACGTTGGGTGTAGCGGTTACTTTAAAATTAAAAAAAAAATCATTAGCATGCTTTTGAAGGTCATCTCTATTGAATGCATTAGCAGTTCTAACAGTGGATGGGCATTTGGGTTCTTTTTAATTTGGGGCTGTTAGAAATAAAGAGCTTATGAACATGTGATTACTTCTGAAAGCTTTTTTATTTTGATAAAATTTCCAATTTATATAAAAAATACAGAAATAGTACACAGCTCCCATGCTGAAGCATCCAGGAGTCGTGCCACCTTGACCCTTTATTACCCCTTAATACTTCAGTGTGTATTTCCTAAGTACAAGACCACTCTGCTACCTAACTGCCATGTGACCAGCAGAATCAGGAAATAACATTAATCCAGTATCCAGTCTGATTCACATTTTGCTGATGTCCCTAAAATGCCCAAGAATTCCAATCTGGGATCATGCCACATGTGGTTGTCTCTTCAGTGTCCTGTGCATTCCTCAGCCTGTCCTTACCTTTCTTAATGGTATACAGAGATACCGTATGTCTGTATTTGTGGCTGTTATCTATACAGTTATATGAAAAAGGAATTTACAGCAGTATCTCTAATTGCAATCTGACAACCCTGAGTTTATTCTGGGCTTCCCCCTTTCCTTGTGTTTTTTAAGATTTTATTTATCTTAAAGAGAGAGCAAGTCCGTGTGCACAAGCAGCAGGGAGAGGGAGAAGCAGGCTCCCCGCTGAGCAGGAGCCCAATGCGGGACTCGATCCCAGGCCCCCGGGATCACGACCTGAGCCAAAGGCAGACGCTTAACCAACTGAGCCACCCAGGCATCCCAGCCCTTCTTTTCTTCTTTGTAACTCCTCCGCTCCCAGTGATCAATGCATTTACTTACTGCTTAAATCTCCTGGAATGTAATCAAACTCTGGGAAGCAAGGCTTCAAGAGGGAAGAGGGGGAAGAAAAAGGGAGCTAACTACCTTTCGAAAATGATTTGATCATGCTGGGATCTTGGGCCCATCTGTGGGAGTTGCCAGTTTTGGAGGAAGTAGATGTTGCACTCATATAATGTGGTGGTTCTCAACTTCAAGTTTAACTTCTGCTGCGGATTCGAATCATCTGGGAAACATTTCCAAATGCCCGTGCCTAACGTACACCCCATATCAATTAAATCCCAATCTCTAGGCGTGAAACCCAATCAGCAATATATTTAAGTTCCCTGAGTGATTCCAATGTGAGTTAAGAACTAACAAAGCAGGGGCGCCTGGATGGCTCAGATGGTTAAGCATCTGCCTTCAGCTCAGATCATGATCCCAGGGTCCTGGGTTCGAGTCCCACATCGGGCTCCCTGCTCAGCGGGGAGACTGCGTCTCCCTTTCCCTCTGCCTGCTGCTACCCCTGCTTGTGCTCTCTCTCTTCTGTCGAATAAATAAAAAAATTAAAAAAAAAAAACTAACAAAGCAGATTTCTACCCTTTGAAATAGGTTATAATGATTAGATCTTTAGTTCAAATTGTATTTTTCCAAGGCAGCATATTGATAAGAAGAAGATGGTGTAAAAATGCAAAGTGCTGTGGGGCACCTGGGTGGTTCAGTTGGTTAAATGTCTGACTCTTGGTTTCGGCTCAGATCACTATCTTGTGGTTGTGGGATCGAGCCCCATGTCGAGCTCTGTGCTCTGCACAGAGTCTGTTTTAGATTTTCTCTCCCTCTCCCTCCTTCTCACACTCTTTCTCTCTCTCTCTCAAATAAATAATCTTTTTTTTTTTTTTTTAAAGAAAAGGATTGCATCACATCTCCCTTTTGAGCTTTTGAACTTTAAGGTGTAAAGTATTTTCTGTGTGGGTATTTAGCAAGCATTTTGTCCTTGGAAATATTGTATCCAGTAAAGATCTAATGCAGAATGTGAAGCCCTGGCTTAAAATTTGTGCTGTAATTGATTTGCCCTTGAGCAGTACTTCTCAAAATTTCATGTTCTTCCAAATCACTTTTGTAGCTTATTAAACTGATCTAGCAGGCCTGGAGGAGAGGGGTGGGTTTTTTTTTTTTTCTTAAGATTTTATTTATCCATTTGAGAGAGAGAAAATAGAGAGAGAGAGAGCATGAGAGGTGGGAGGGTGAGAGGGAGAAGCAGACTCCCTGCTGAGCAGGGAGCCCAATGCAGACTCCATCCTGGGACTCCAGGATCGTGACCCGAGCTGAAGGCAGTCGCCTAACCAACTGAGCCACCTGGGAGCCCTGAGGGGTGGGGTTTGAGAGACTTTATAAAGTGATGCTGAATGTGCTGATCTGGGGACCATGCTTTGGTGGCAAAACCCCGGAGTCTTTGCCCTGATAACTTAGTCGGTGAGTCTTGATTTTGGGGTGTTATGAACCTCTTTTGAAACTTGATAAAACCTAAGGGCTTTCCCCAGGAAAAACAAAATTAAAACAAAAATGTGCATATATACACCTAAGCATACAACTTCAGGGAGGCCATGCATTCATTCAATGAATACTCATTTTTCCTTTTTTTTTTTTTTTTTAAGATTTTATTTATTTGCCAAAGAAAGAGACAGCGAGAGAGGGAACTGAAACAGGGGGAGTGGGAGAGGGAGAAGCAGGCTTCCCGTGGAGCAGGGAGCCCAATGCGGGGCTCCATCCCAGGACCCCAGGATCATGACCCGAGCAAGAAGGCAGACGCTTAACGACTAAGCCACCCAGGCGCCCCAAATACCCATTTTTCTGGGTGCTAACGATAGAGCAAAAGGCAAGATTGACAAGGTCCCCACCTCCTGGAGCTTTCATTGTGGTGTCTGGGGACAAATCGCTACCACGTAAATAAAGAAGGCCTGTCGGGTAGTGATAAGTGATGAGGCAGTGTACCACGAACACACAATGGATGGATTGAGTTGGAGGAGTGCAAGAATGACTTTGTGAAACCAGTTTTCTGTCTGTCTGGGGAGACATCTTGTCCAGAGACCTGAGGGCCAGTCTATGGAACTAAAGCTTCCCCAGCAATCAGCTCCAGAGGGCCTGAAGTAGAAATGAGCCTCACAGTTTCATAAGACAGATCAGCTGGTATGGCAGGTGCAGAGTGAGTGAGGGAGAGAGTGACAGGAGGTGACTTCAGAGGGGCAGAGGGGCCAGATCATGCAGGGCCTTGTAGGTCACAGCAAGGAGGCTGCTTCTACCCCATCCACTGCCCAAGCCTATTTTTACAACTTAAAGGAGCCACGGCCTCCATTTTAAGAACTGCAGATCGAGAACTAATTTAGGAACAAAACCAGAAAAATGTCATTTGGAGATTAAAGGCGCAGAGAATACACCTGAAAATCCAGATTGAAGGAGGTGAGCCTGCTCAGGACAGAGCCCTTCTCCGGACCCCCAGTATCCACAGGTCTGGAGCCTGCCTCCAGGGACAACTGCTCGCTGAGTAATAATAAGTTTAAGTTCCAATCTGCAAGCAAAATGTTAGTTTCCATCCTGTCTCCGCCCACTGCAGAATGCTAGGACATCCCAGGCCTGCCCGGGGACGCACTCAGATGGCTTGACATCTCTTTTCTTTACTTCTCCACCTTCCAATAGCCAATAATGGCTTGGTGTGAGCACCGGCCTTAGCTTGCTAAGTTGTTGTGATGGCTCGGTTGTGGCTTTATTCCACATTTCACTCTGCTCCAGGGGAAGGGGGGGCTTGGATGGTGTTGCAATCCCCGTTTCTGTTAAGTGCCTCTTAAGTGGCAATTGTCTTTTAGCTCTCCTGTGTTGAGGGCTGGCTTGAGACCATCACAGTCTGTAAAAGAGCTGCCTGATCAGGATTAAGATTTAATCAATGCTTTAGTTTTCCCAGAGACCCAAGAGACCCCTAGATTATAAGGAAGGAAAAATGCACTGGCAGCCTGCTTTCGGAAATGATTTCCAATTCATATTTTCCTTGAAGTGAAACAGGAAATGAGGAATTTAAAATCTCAATTCTGGGGCAGCTGGGTGGCTCAGTCGGTTGGGCGTCTGCCTTTGGCTCAGGTCAAGATCTCAGGGTCCTGGGATGGAGTCCCGCATCGACTCCCTTGCTCCGTGGGGAGCCTGCTTCTCCCTCTCTCTCTGCCTCTCTCCCTTCTTGTGCTCTCTCTGCCTCTCTCTCCCTCAAATGAATAAATTAAAAAAACCTTAAAAAAAAAAAAGGTGGGGGGCGCCTGGGTGGCTCAGTTGGTTAAGCGACTGCCTTCGGCTCAGGTCATGATCCTGGAGTCCCGGGATCGAGTCCCACATCGGGCTCCCTGCTCGGCAGGGAGTCTGCTTCTCCCTCTGACCGTCCTCCCTCTCATGCTCTCTGTCTCTCATTCTCTCTCTCTCAGATAAATAAAATCTTAAAAAAAAAAAAGGTGGTTCTGGCCTTTGCTGGACTGTAGGGGCTGTAGTTTCTTTATCTATAATGGAGATATTGAATTAAAGAAGCTTCCACATCTGGGCCAGCTCTTTAAAATATTGTCCTCTGAAAATAACACACTCCACCCCCAAATAAAACCTTTTTTAAAAATAATACTATAAGTATATTTTGCTTTGCCAGTTTATCCCCAGTTTTGTACAAAATTATTTTGTTAAGTTGAATGCTTGTCCCTCATCTTGTGAGGTGACTGCCTGTTGGAGGGAGGGAGGAGGAGGTTCTGCTCTGAAATCTCATCATCAGCCAAGTCGGACAGGGCATCCGGACAGGCACCTCTATTCTAGAAACAGTGGGGGGGGGGGCGGCGGTGTGAATTTTATGAAAGAGATACCAGCCCCAAACACTAGAAAAAGCAGCAACCTATTGTCTTGTCTCTCCTCATAGAAAGTAAATCCTTGGGGCCAGGGAATTTTTTTTATTCACTGCTGTATCCCTTGTGCCTGGAACAGTGCCTGGCACACAGTAGGTGCTCAGTAAATATTTGTTGAATAGATGGAGCTGCATATTGGCACTTCAACTTTGGTGATTTCTAGCAGTACTCCTCTTTCCGTGGGAAAGACTCCCAGAAGCAGGGAGAAGGACGGTAACAGGAACCTCTAGCTTTCTCCTGTCCCCCTCCAGGAGCATTTTGAGACTGAATTTCAAAAGTCCCAGAGAGGAAAAAAAGATTGTTCCATTCTTTCCAACTCACCTATGTCCCCCTTTCTGCATTGAAACAGTCTAGATCTGGTAACAGCTCATGTGTTACAAACTATGTCTGCCTCAGGACAGACACGACTCCCGAAAATCTTATCATGGATGATTTATAAACTTAAGCATCCTTGATTTATGTATTCTATAAATCCACATGTTTATTAATTGGATTTGTTTCAAGGAACATTATGTGTTCTAAGGATATAGATCTACATTTTCAGCAGATTCCTGTAGTCAGTACATCTCTGCTCCTAAGTGGAAAGAATAGGAAAATGGAGCCAAAAAACTGTTTCAAATGATTTAAAATTCTAGTTCTTTCCACAATGCCCTACTAGTTCAGTGTACCACGGCTAAAGTAGTTTTACCAATGGTGGACCGTTTGGATATCATTTGTGTATATATATAAAAGAAGACATCGAGTTTGAGTCTCTTTGGAAAACCAGATGCAAATTAGCCCCTGGAGCTCAGGAGCTGTTAGGAAAGCAGAGGAAGGAACGGTGGGCACCTTCCCATTGGCTGGGGGGACTCACCCAGATGTCTGGCTCCCACTATAAAGACAGGAACCACTGCAGTCAGTTCCCACTTCCAGTTAAAGGACGACAGCAAAACAGCAAAAAAAGGAAGATGGCCAGACTATTAATACTTTCCCTCCCAGGTCTTTTAGCCATATGTGCCGTGCACGGAATATTTATGGACAGACTGGCTTCCAGGAAGCTCTGTGCAGATGACGAGTGCATGTGTAAGGACATTTTTTATGCCTTTTTTTTTTCTAAGATTTTATTTATTTATTTGAGAGAGAGAGAGAGCATGAGAGCGGGGAGGGTCAGAGGGAGAAACAGACTCCCTGCCGAGCAGGGAGCCTGATGCGGGATTTGATCCTGTGACTCCAGGATCATGACCTGAGCGGAAGGCAGTTGCTTAACCAACTGAGCCACCCAGGAGCCCCTTTTTATGCCTTTCATTATCTTTCTATTATATAATTGAAAAAAAATGGGGCTCCTGGGTGGATCAGTCAGTTGAGCAGCTGCCTTCGGCTCGGGTCGTGATCCCAGAGTCCTGGGATCGAGCCGGACGTCTGGCTCCCTGCTCAGCGGGGAGCCTGCTTCTCCCTCTGCCTGCCGCTCCCCCTGCTTGTGCTCTCACTCTGTGAAAGAAAGAAAGAAGAAAGAAAGAAAGAAAGAAAGAAAGAAAGAGAGAGAGAGAGAGAGAGAGAAAGAAAGAAAGAAAGAAAGAAAGAAAGAAAGAAAGAAAGAAAGAAAGAAAGAAAAAGAAAGAAAGAAAGAAAGAAAGAAGAAAGAGGAAAAGGAAAAGGAAAAGGAAAAGAAAAAAAAATCCACTAACAGCAACTATCTAATTGGGCTTTAAGTGAATCTTCTCTAACGAGTATGTCGCTAGCACTGCTTGGTCTGTACATTCGGTGTCTTAACTACCGAGAATTCACTTGGTTGAGATTTTCAGCTTTCATACCTTGGCTATATTACTCGTCTTGAACTGAACATTCAGGAGCTGTAAACTGGGAGTTATTAGTCTCTCTGATTTCCTATTTCTGATATGTTTGGCCTTTTTACTGTTAGAAAATCCAGGAGACTAAATAATGTAGTCATTTCAATGTTTCTTTTCTTCCAGATACTATTTCTCTCTCCAGAGCTCAAGAAGATTACAATGCCCCGGACTGTAGGTTCATTAATGTTAAAAAAGGACAGCAGATTTACGTTTACTCAAAGTTGGTACAAGAAAACGGAGCTGGAGAATTTTGGGCTGGCAGTGTAAGATGAGATCCTTGCAAATATACACACATCTTGACATAGGTTGCTCTTAATTTTTTCTTTCTGACCTACCTCCAGTACATTTTAGTGTTTGAAACGAGCTCTCAAGAATAATGGAGAGGTTTAGATGCAAGTGCAGAAAATCACATGCATTTGCTTTTGTGGCATTTTGAAGAAACAAAGAAAATTTCATAACAAAACCACATGTAGGTTTATGTGATGTGTTGGCAAGAACTAGTCAACCACGTGGGGGGCTTGAACATCTTAAAGAGTTTGAAACTTACTCAAAAATGTTTGAACGGATTTGCCAAGGAAAAGGCATGCGTGTTGGCAGTCAGGCTCCGCTTCAATATTTTAAAGGAAATCAACACCCTCTTCAGTTGCAGAGAATCTGCTTTCTTCATTGAAAACCCGCAGGGGTGGGCCCTAGGGAGGGATGAAGCAGGGCTGATTTGCTGTCGTCATCTGCAGCCCCACAGACACCTTCTCAAGGAATGAAGAATTAAATCCTAAATTCACTCAAGTATCTGTGCACTCGAATATTTAACAACCAAGAAGGGCCAGTTCTTTAAAATAAAAGTATCTATTTAGTTTTTTAGAAACGCACCGACTTTGTTTATGGGTTCCAAAAAGATTTTGGGCGGCTCACAAGATTGCATAAAATAAAGAAATGCTCAGTGAGACCGGGAAGACCCGGCCACAGGAGAACAGAGACACACTTTCTGTGGGTTAACTCAGTTGCTGTGAGTGAGCTTCAAAGTTGGATCTGAGGCCCCCGGAACCCAGAGGGGAAAATGGAGTCATTGCAATTCTGTAATTCTCATTCACAGCAAATGTGATGCCAGGGGTTTTCTAGAAGTGGACTCCCAGCCGCAGCCCCCTGACTGTTACTCTTCTGGGCACTCAGGTCTATGGAGATGACCGTGAGGACGAGATGGGCACCCTGGGCTATTTCCCCAGCAGCTTGGTCGAGGAACAACAGGTGTACCAAGAAGCCACCAAGGAAGTCCCCACCACGGTAAGTGTCTCAGAGCGGGCCGGAGAAGGACCCAGATCCTGGGCTGATGCAGGCAGGTGTTAAAGATGCATCGTGTCACTTACAAGACGACCGGAGCAAACCCCCCTACTTGTAGCGGAGGCTTCCCCGAGACAGGGAGGTTTGCGAGAGCATTTACACCTACTCTCAATGTTGAAAGGTTACCGAACTTTCCCCACCCACCCCCTTTTGTTTTTAGATACAAGTTATCCTAGAAAGGAGTCCATGTCACAAAGAAAGAAATGAATATAGTACTCATGGACTCTTAACTGATGGTTACATTTATTTACTAAAACACTTGGGCTGGGAAAAAATCAGCACCTGTATTTAATCAAATCAAAACACTGGAAAAAAAAATCTTTGGATGCCTTATTTCTGTGGTAGATAGATTCTACTTATGTTTGAAAAAGAAATTATATTCTTTCCAGTGCCCTGGGGTCTTGCAAGCCCCAGAAGAGACATAAAAGATTCCCTTTGAGCTACTTGGCAGGGTGGTTGTTTTGAAGAGATTCTCCTGGAGCTAATTGCTACGTGAAATAACTTCAAAACATTGCCCAACCCACACAAACGGGACTTGCTTGTCATCGCTTCTGAGCACTGAGCTTGAATGTGTCAAATAACCACCAATTAAAAGTGTATTTGAGAACCTTCATTTTAAGTAGTTTTTGACTTAAAGTGATAATTATGTCATACTCTTTGGGGTTCAACCTTATTTTAAATCTAGATTTCCCTTTGATGACCTATAATTTTTAAATAAAGAAACTATATTTGTTTTCTGGCCCTTGTGTGCTCAGTTCAATCTTTTTTTTTTTTTCTCTAGGATATTGACTTCTTCTGTGAGTAAGAAATTAGACAAACCTGCAAGTAAAAAGGAAACACTAAAAACTAGGAGAAGCGAAATAAGAAAAAAATACGTGTCCCTAATTCCTGACTTTTGTTTCAAGGCTTTGTTATCCTTACAGGAGGGCTGGGCCTTGGTGGCCAGAGGTGGCACATGAAGGAGGGGTTTCCATTCAGTTTTCTGCTGGCCTGGTCTTCCCACCACCTGGGGGGGCAGGGCGACGTTTGGCTCAAGAGGGAGAATTGAAAGCAGAAATTCTATTTCAGCCTAGAGAATCCTCTCTTACACAAGAATGTATACAGAGAATGGCTCATTTTTATTATTTTTAAATTGTAATTCTTACCAGCTCTTTGGCTTCTTATACAAACTTGGTAGGTCACAGATCTTCCCTTTGGATATGCTGTTTTCTAATTATTTGTCTCACTGGCCATTTGGAGTGTTATAATATACCTAAAGGGGCTATATCCCCAAGGAGTATTCAAGGATTGTTGTTACTTTTAATATTGTTTGCCTTTGGGTGTGAAGCTGGTGGGAGTGGACGAGCTGTTTGGGCTTAGAGATATTTGGACTATACCTCTTTCTCTTAAAAAAAAAAATCACAAATTATTTCAATGGAATTTTATCTTCTAGTGATCAATTTATCGCTCCCCAAATTTTAAGTAAGTGTGTGTGTATGTAATAAGGGTGGAGCAGCTTATGAAATATTTGTAATGGGATAGTTTCCCCATCATATGTGCTGTCACTGCAAACATTTGAGCTTCAAGTCAAAAGACAGGGGGAAAAAGTCTGTGGGTTATTTCCCGACTTCTCTTTCAACGTTGAATTTCCTCTTCCTGTGCAAAGTCCCCCAGCCAAGGATGATGTGTGAATAAATCTGGTGAGGGGATTGGTGGTCCCAAAGGATATACAAGTGTCTCTACATTTGATTGGAAATTTGCTTTGATTGTGTATTCCTAGTATAATTCTTTTTATGTAGTCATGAGTCTTTGTTTACATGCAGTTAAAATGCCTGTACTTTGACAATTTCTGAATTAAAAATTGTTTTAAAACATTTTTCAACTGGGGTCATCGAAAGTCTGGAAAGCACTTGGAAATGGGGTTGGTTCCTCAGTTTCCTGTGGTCTGTTCATCCCACCGGCATGAAGAGGAGGGCATTTACGATAAGTCAGAGATGGGGACCCCAGGGTCATTTTTCCAGCTGTGTCCATTGTGATTTGGGGTGAATATATTTTTGCCAAATTCCCATGGGGTTCCATCATGTGAAATGGTACCCCCCAAAAGCCCCCCAAACCCAAACCCACTTACTGCATTCCATAAAATGTTTCAGGCCAATCTAGGGTGGTCAACACAATTTAAGGTAAGAGGCATTTATCCTCTGTTTCTCTCTGCCTCTCACTTGCTGGCTCCCCCATTCCAGGTACCCCATTATCCCTCAAGATACCCAGCATCCCCATGACACTCTCCTACTGCCAAAGCCCCCATCTGTCTGGCCTCATGCTTCCAGCCTCCCTCCCCAAGCATGGGGCTTCAGGCTGCGGTCCCTCCTGGCCACACCTGCCTTCCCTTCACCAGAACCAATCTCATCCGGGCTTTTGGGGTCACTGATTGGTTTCCATCTTCTGGGGGCCTAGCCGCATCAACAGAATGAAAGCACCTGCAGGGAGCTAGCCTTTCAGTAGGCAAAGGCCATCCCTGGCCCGGGGGCAGCGTGGGCCTCAGTTGGGTATGGGTTAAGAAGGCAGAACCCCAGGGCCCACCGCAGACTTTCTGAATCACAATCTGCATTTTCACAAGACCCCCAGATTCGAGGTTCATGGATGCATTGGAGGGAAAGAGAAACCTCCTTCTACCCTCCTCGGGTCTCTGGCTGGGCCTAAGAATTAAACTGACATAGACAGATCACCAGGAGAGAAGCGGGTGTGTTTAATTTCATATTTTTACGTGGTGATGGGAATCTTCAAAAGGAAAATGAAGACCCAGAGAAGCCACTAGAGCCATGTACTTATATACCTTTTTCGACAATGAGCAATAAAATGTGGGACGTGACAAGATAAAGTGGCTTGGGCGCGGGGCAGTAAATCGTGGGACAGTGACCAGGAAACGCACACGGAGAGCCGTGGAAGATAGGGGTGATTGCAGCAGCTTGTTTGCCCGGGTCCCTTCCAGCGCCGACTCCCAGGGCCTGGCCATAAAAGCGTCCTCTTCCCGGCGCACCGAGAGCACCTTCCTCGTGGGAAATTTTACGGCCTGTTTTTAGGTAGAAAGCAGGGAGGTCAGAGAGCCCTTCCTGCATCTGCGCTTTCTCTCCCCCCTTCAGCTCAAAATGATCAATATGCCGAAGCAGCATCTTTTGGGGTAGCGTGTTCTGAACCCCTTGGACATTAAAGGTTATGAGAAACACTCATTTTAGTTCTCTCCTTTCCTCTGACACAGAAAGAAATAAGTGAAAAAAGTGAGAGCACCTGGGAGATGAAGCAGCTTTGCCAAGGTTGAAAGGGCAGGATTTCCACATTCTGAAACCAGTATCCCCCCGTGTTGTGGGCACCGGCTTGGTGTCTATAGAACTCTACCTTCCAGAAAAGGGGGCCATAGGGTGGAGAAGTGAGAGTCTGGGGGGCAATGAGGCCACTTGGGGAATCTTCCTTCCTTCCCACTACGAGCAAGGGTATCTTCTACCTCTAAGAGATTCTCAGTCCCTGACGTTGTTGCTTTGCAACCTTGAGAGCTCCTGAGAAGTCTGAGACCAGGCCCTGGCCTGGGGAGACTGGGAAAGAGGAAGACCACTCCAGATGGGCAGGTGGCAATTTCCTGAAGCAAGGGACTTAACACGCAAGGCTTGTGGGCAGCTGCAAGATGAGTGAGGAGCCTCGACTGACCATTCCTGTCCAGCTCGAGGGTCAACTGGTGGCCACGTCCTCTCCATGACCTCACCCAACAGACATTAAAGAAAACAAAAAACCAGGGTGCCTGGGTGGCTCAGATGGTTAAGCATCTGCCTTCGGCTCAGGTCATGATCCCAGAGTCCTGGGATCGAGTCCCGCATCGGGCTCCCTGCTCCTTGGGAGCCTGCTTCTCCCTTTGCTTCTCCCTCTGCTTCTCTCTCTCTGTCTCTCATGAATAAACAAATAAAATTAAAAAAAAAAAAAAACAAAAAAACAAACAACTGGGCCTAGGGATCCCTGAGGGAACTCCAACTTGTAGGTTTCCTCTATACTCCCAAGTTGAGGCTGTGTGTGTGTGTGTGTGTGTGTGTATAGTGTTTAAATATTTCCATGTAGCTGTACTGTTTCCTTTTGGGAGAAAACTAAGGATTTCACCATCCCTTGTGTATATACAATGGAATATTCCTCAGCCATATAAGAGAATGAAATCTTGACATTTACAACCACATGGATGGAGTATTATGCTCAGTGAAATAAGTCAGTCGCATAAAGATGAATACCCTATGATTTAATTCATGTAGAATTTACAAAACAAAACAAAGAAAGAAAAAAAAGAGACAAAGCAAAAAACAGACTCTTTTTTTTTTTTATTCTTTTTTCAAAGAACAGACTCTTACCTATAGAGAAGAAACTGGTGGTTGCCAGAGGTGAGGCGGGTGGAGGGATGGGGGAAATAGGTGAAGGAGATCAAGAGTACACTCATCGTGATGAGCACTGAGTGATGTACAGAATTGTTGAATCACTATACTGTGCACTTGAAACTAATAAAAAAAAAAGAGTTTCCTCATCCTTGACCTCACAGAACATGGGAAACAATAAGGGCAGTGGATATGGGTAGTGCAGTCAAGTAGCTTTCAGAAGCCAATTTAGGGCAAATGGTGAGACTTTGCCTCGAGCAGAGCTATTCAAAGGGGTTACCAGTGCAAGACGAGAGAAGCACTGAAACCCATCCGAGGTGAGAACAGTCAGGGCATGGAAGACCCCGGCAGGCAATAAAATGAAATGAAATCTTGTTTAAGGGAACTGTGTAATTGGTGGCTCAGAGAAGTCGGGCAAGCACAGAGCCCAGGGCAGCATGGAAAAAGGTAGGCTGTCTATTTCTTTCAGTGCTGTTGTTCCCTATGTGTGCATGCTTGAATAAGGTTCTGACCTTGCTGGACCTCTGTTTCCTTGGCTATCAATGGGGTTCACAGCATCTTCCTTGCTGGGTTGTTGCGAGGCTTAAATATAATATAATATCAGGCCCCTAAGAGTGGGACCCCTAGGTGGTAGCTAGTATTATCTGACCCAAGAGGGCTGGAGAGAGAAAGGCCTTCCCTCAAGGAGCTGTGCTGTAATCAGCTAGATGCTTCACTGGTAAGAAATTGTAATTTCCCCTTCAGACCATCTGGTATTTCTACATCAAAGATATTTCCAGATTGCATACTTTTTTTGTGGTTTCATTTCTTAAAAAACAAAACAAAACAAAAAACCCCAAAACACCTGAAATTACCTGAAATAGTGTGGAGTGTATGAGTATAATTTTGATTGGAAGTCCCAGTTCTGGCCACTGCCCTTCATTAACACCAACATGTGAGGGTCATTTACGTCCCACTGAGGGCCCCCACACCTTGTAAGAATCAATATAGTAGGTTCTCTATATATTTGTTTATCTTTGAGACCTATGGCCAGATGGATGTTACTGTGTGAATTCATCATATTTAGGCTCAGCAAAGTTGGGTTGTCTCATGTGCATCTAGCCATCCTGGCAAGGGTGTAAATAACAACACCTCTTAGGAAAGCAGCCTTGGAAGGGGCGCGTGTCACCTTGGTTTTCCACAGCTTGATGGCACTTGCTCTGACCGCAGGGGTGAGTACTGTTCCTCTGCTCTCCTGATGCTGGAAGTTCACGTGTCTGGCCAGACATTTTGACCCTCATTCTGATGAGAGCCTTGTATGAGATCCAAAGCACATGGCTCCCGGAGGAGAGAAGGCCTGAGACTGAGGTACTGTGGCTTCTACACTTTCTCTAAAAAAGTATGCACGGGTGTGGAATGCATGCTAATGAGAAGTT